CCAAAGCCCCTCTGCACCATGCAGCAGCCACTGCTGCCCTCCAACCCGCCTCTAAGCAAACCCACCTTCAGGCTACGAATGCTGGACGGGCTGGCGTCCGACTTGAGCATGACCTGGATGTCCTGAAGTGCCTCCTCCCCAGTGGGCCGGGGTCGGGTCACCTCGTCGGCCACCTCCTTGGCAGCTTCCTCCAGCTGATGAGGAGAAAGGAGCAGGCTGTCAGTGATGGGAGCAGGGCGGGCCCTGAGGGGCGCAGGAACGGGGTCCCACTCACCAGCTGCAAATGTTCAGTAGGCTGCTTGTACAAGAAGTCGGCCAGGTCCTCGTCAAAGCTGGCCAGGTCCTCCATCTCCACCTCGATCCAGTACTCCCCCAGGTTGTAATGCCGCTTGAGCTCATCCCTGCAGTGGGCAGGCGGCAGGGTGCAGGTGGGGCCGAGCGCAGGGAAGAGGAAGCCGACACTGGCTGAGGCGCGCTGCACCCTGAACGTGCCCTCCCCGTCACCAGCACCGCCCCACCGCTTCCCTCCCCAGACACACTCGGAACTGCAGACGCATGCCCCACAGAAAGCTCCGTGGAAGGATGTCTCAGCACCCAGACAGGGTTCTGACACAGGTCAGTTGGAGGCTCTCACTGCACAGCGGTTCTTGTTTCAGAGCTCCCTGGGGCCTTTCACTCTCTCTGGGGGGGCTGACAAAGCACACACTTCAGAGCTTGGGGACCGAAGGCAGCAGACACCGTGTCTGTCTTGTCATCCATCCACCAGACTATTTACAGAGCATCCATGGGACTATCGTCCCAAAAACACATTTGGGGACCACAGACCTACACAGAGTCCTCTCCCCTTCTACCTTATGCCTGGGAACCACGCAAAATGGCCAGCCTCGCCCAGAGAGCCCTCACTGTGACGGGCCGCCCGAACATCTGCCTGTGCAACTGTTGTGTGGGCCTCTTCCCACACAACTCTTCTGTCAGCTCCAGGGTCACCTTGAACTTCGGCTCCTCTGGAGACCTCCCCTAACTCCGCTTTTACATTCCTCTGAAGGCACTTTCACCAAGTAATGATTTGTTGGTCTCTGTGCCCCGCTCCCACTGACTGCTTGAGGGCAAGTGGGACCAACCATTTCCTGTTGTGTTCAGCCCAGTGCCAGGCACCCAGGAGGGCCAATTTGGCTGGTGCATGAGTTAGCGGAGGCAGGAACAGCTACGCCCATTTTACTGACCAAGAAACACGCAGGACCAGAGAGACTGTCACTCAGACGTCACTCCACCGGAGCCTGGACCTGCAAACCCCCATTCCCCGAGTTTGAAGAGCCAGCGATGGCATGCTATGGTATCACAGGCTGCACAATGGCTGGGCACAGGGACCTTGCCCAACGTGTTCAGTGCTGCAGCCCAGCACCGGGAACAGCGCCTGGCAGGCGGCAGGAGCTGAGTCGGAATGAATGAATGAGTGAGTGAGGAAAATCACAACTCCCCTCTTCACCTACAGCACCCACAGAGAACTTTCGTTTCCCAGGTATCTGACGTGGAGTGTCAGATAACAATAAAAAGACACAGGAATGAGATCTGGTAAAAAGAACCAAAGGGCCCAAGTGGCTCCAGCTGGGTTGATCGACTCAACAAGTGACTCACTCGAAAGTTAACTGCAGGTATGACATACACAAAACCATATCCCACCACGTGCGGGGGTCTGATGAGGCACCACTGGGACCCAAATCCCTAGAACGGGACAGGCTCCTTCGCCTCCCCTCCAGTTTCCCCATCTGTGTCCCGACCAAGACACCAAAAGGCTCTCGGCCCAGGTGTGTGCGCAGCTCCTCAAGCAGAGGGGGCTGCAGGCGCCTGTCCCCTCCCTCCCGCTCCAGCCCGCACCTGTATTTGAAGGTGAAGCCGGTGCGGTCGGTGCCCACTCGGTACTGCCGCAGGAACTCCTTAAAGCGCCTCTGCAGCTGCGACTTGCGGGCCTTGCCCTCATCGGCCGCGGCGTCTCCCCCGAAGCTGTCACTGTAGAAAATGCCCGGGTCGTCGAAGCCCGACATGACTGCACCTGGTGCGGCGACAAAGGGCTGGAGCGGACTGGTGACAGCGCGCGGCCTCCCCTCGCCCGGGCCTCGGCTCCGAGCGCGGGGCAGGGTGTCCCGCTCCCACTCCCGGATCCCGACCCCAGTCCTCCCGGGCCAAACCCCTGGCCACCCTTACTGCACGCCCAGAGGCAGACGCCTGCCGACGCCCCACGGAGCCGGCTCCCGCGCCCCCACTCGTCAGTCCCACCGGGCTCACCTCTCTCTTCCGGCACTCCACTGACCGACCCGGAGACACGAGCAACCCACAAGCCCCGCCGCCGAGTTTCGCGGGAAAAAAGAGACGCCGCGTTCGGACGCTGCGGCAGCTGTGTCCCTATTGGTTTGCTTGGGCCCCGCGGCCAGTAATTGGACCGTTCTGGGCCCTGGAGTCGGCCTCTTGGAGCGGCATTCAAAGCTCATTGGTTTTGGGTCTCATGACGTCAGGCTTCCTGGCCTCCATCCGGACTCCATTTTGCGTGCCAGGAAATTTGGCGCGAAATTTCTGGTGTTAGGGAGGAGGGGAGGAGGGGAGGGGCGGGGCCCGGAGCAAAGATGGCGGAGGGGCGGGCTTTCGGGTCCAGGGTAGGCGGGGTTGTGCCGAGCCGTCTGTAGTCTTCGCTTCTTAAGCCTTTCTGAAAGTCTCGTAAGAAAAGGACCTCTTTTGGGGCCGTGGGGTGAAAGGCAAGGGTTCAGAAGGTATAGGTCCCATGGGAGCTGGGAGGCCACCTGCAGGCCGGCTATGTGTTCTCACCGTTAACACACTTCCAAAAGCCGGACAGTCAGTCATCAGGCAGAAGTCACCTCTGGTCTCCCTAACGCATGTCGTCCCAAACTTGGAACTCGACGTTTTCATAGACCCCGAGATGCTTGGGGTGGGGGGGTGGGGGGTGGGGGGGGAGGGGAGTTACAGTGAAGACCTAAAATTATTTGGAAATGTTTAAAATTTGCGAGAACTCACGATCAGATTCCCCAACTAGCTGGAAAAATGGTTAAGGTTTGGCAAAAATCGACGCATGCTCAAGCAGCAGCAAGGACTGCAAAATCTCCCTGCTTCTTCAATCCCAACCCCGACACGAAATGGAAAAAAAGTTTCATTCCCTTTTCCAGCTTCACACAAACGTATGCTGATATTTACAGGGAGTGTTTAAAATGTGTATTTTTACAGTGTAAAAACTGAGATAGCAAATGAGTGTGAAACTGGCTCTTATTAATACCTCATGGAAGTCTCTCTGAATGGGCACATAGATGCGACTCAGACAAGCTACTATGTTTCATACTAAGAATACAATACAAGTTATTCAGCCATTTCCTGGTTGGTAGATTTCAAGGTTTCTCTCCCTTCTCCTCCCTCCCTTCCTGTTTTTGCCAAGGCAAACAATGACTCCTCATGCCCTTCCACAGGACAGGAAACCCACGGCACCCGGTCTCCCACGTCGGCGCTCCTGGAGCTCATTGCACTTCGGAACCTCCCAGGGAGCTTGTCACAAACAGGATTGCAGACTCCGGCCCTGGGTGTTCAAAATCAGGGCCTCCCCAGGGTGGGTGGCCCAGGGTCCTGATGCCACAGGCAGAGACTGGTGTTGGGACAGTGCGGGGGGGGGGGGGGGGGGGGGCACCCACGGGGGGGGGGTCGTTGTTTTGTTCTCATCTTGCCAGAGAACAAAAGGAGATTTGGAGTAACTTGTCCAAGGTCCCAGGCTGAGTGGCAAAGCCAGGACCAGGGACGAAGGACCTCCTGACTCCCAGCCCTCTGAACCAGTTGTCTAAGGAACCACCTTGTCTCCTGGGTTCCCACACATACCTGCAAGTAAAGGACTTTTGCTTCCCCAGACTGGGAGGCGGCATTTTAGTTTTTAAATATTTTTTAAAAACTAAAATGGTATTCTTGCCCTGGCTGGTATAGCTCAGTGGATTGAGCGCAGGCCTGGGAGCAGAGGATCGAGGTTCAATTCCCAGTTGGGGCACATGCCTGGGTTGCAGGCCAGTTACCTGCAGGCTATTTCCCAGCAGGGGAAGCACTAGAGGCAACCGTACATTGATGTTTCTCTCCCTCTCTTCTTCCCCTCTAAAGATAAATAAATAAAATCTTAAAACATAAAATAAAAATAAAATGCTATTCTTTATTTCTTTTTAGACAGAGGGGAAGAGAGGATTAGGAGAGAAATATCAATGTGTGGTTGCCTTTCACATGCCCCAACTGGGGAACTGGACTGCAACCCAGGCATGTGTCCTGACTGGGAATTGAACCAGGGACTCTTTGGTTCACAGGCCGGCACTCAATCCACTGAGCCACACCAGCCAGGGCAGGAGGCTGTACTTTTAATATTGCAGTGGTTTTCGGGACTTAGAGGAAAGACTTGGGTTAGGGATGGAGCTGAACAGGCCTGGATGTCCTTCCTCACCCTCAGAGAGGGTGACACCCCTCACAGATGTGCTGTGAGAATTATATGATGTGACATCAGTGAGGTGACTTGCAGTACAACCACCACTTAGCAAGAACACAACACCCACATCACCGGTGTTTCGTAACAGGAGATGATAATGTACAATGGTGGCATTTTCCATGCATCTATCTCATTTGCTTCTCAAGACAGGCGGGCAAGGTGGGCCTCGCTGCAAGAAGGAACAGAACCGGGCCCTCAGAGAGGTTAACAACTAACCTTTCAACGGCAGAGCTACAGAGTAGCAGGGATTTCAACCCAGGAATCGCACGGGTGGACTCATGGTCGTATCAAGCAGGGGTCACCACACAGATTCACCCACCGTCTGCTTGAAGCTCAGCCCTACCAAGCCATTCTCAGAACAGAACACAACATCCAAACCAGCTCTGGCCATCCGCACCTTCACCCCTTCTCCCCACCACCCAAGAAACAAATGAGGAAAAAGGTCAGTTCCCCAAGCGTCACAGAGCCCAAGAAAAATGCTTCAAGTTACTACCAGGAAATGCAGTTTATTGTTTTACACACAAGTTAGAGACCAAGGCCACAGTGCTGTTAAAAATGATCTCCCTCAGCACCGAACCAACTCCCCAAACCCTCCCCAACCCCGCTATAAAAACAGCAGAACACAACAAAATACCACGGGCAGGCTAAGCTGGGAACAATATGGTCCCAACAAAACAAGACAAACACAAGACACATCATCTTGGCACATGTGCGTGAAAATCACCACTGGCCACGGGGAACAGAGGGGTCAAGGCACGTCCACCAGGAGACAGCAAGCCCAGGGCGTCTAGAGGGTCCGGACAGTTGCTCCTTCTGGCCACGTCCTCTGGGCTCTGCTGCAGGAACAAGGGAGGCGACGCTCTGAGGGCCGGGCAGGACCCCTCGCCCCACTCTGGAAGTCCAAGTCACTGGCTGGGTGTGCTTTTTGGTTGGGGAGATGCCACAGACTCCTTCTTCCTTGCCAGAGAGAGGGGGATGTGGGGTGGGCGGGGGTGGGGGCGAGCTGGTAGCTCCCACTGCCCACGGGAAGGAAGCCAGCTAAGAGACTCTCCCTCTGCAGAAAGAGGGCTCTCCGCTGGACAGAGTCCGCGGCCGCAGGAACCAACACAGGTGCATTCATATGGCGTAAAGGCCCACGGCAACCGTTGCCACCAGAAAGCTGAGCGTGAGAACCCATCGGAGGAGGGGCGCCTGGGAAAGGACACTGGGCTGGGCCTTCCCTCTGGGAGTCTCCGGGGGAGTCAAGTCTGAAAGAGAAAGGAGGTCAGTGTCAACAACAGGTGGATAGAAGTGGGGCATCGGACTTCACAGAAAAAAAACACAGCAGAGGGGCCTCGGCAGTCTCTGGTGAAGTCCCACTCAATGCCAAGATTCTGCTAGAACACAAACAGGGAGGCGCTCTAGCCACTGCTTGACTACCTCCAAAGACAGGGAGCTTACTCCTTTACTACAGCTCCAAGCTGTGTACTGGTCCGTGTTCAGCCAGCCCACACTGGGAGGCCATGCCCTCCAGGGGGACTCCAGGGGACCACACTTTGAGACCCGCTGCAGTAAGGCAATGTCGACTCATCCCACCAGACAGCCGATCCCATCAGGACTGGCCACGCTCCAGGACTCCCAGACACAGTCCCAACAGACGGGCCCCCATGGTCCTGGCACACGTGGGAAAGCCACAGGGCAGGTGGGTGACGGTGGCACCAAGCAGGCGGTGACCGTCACCTCTCCACTCGCCCTCACTCCCTAAACCACATTCCTGCTCACAGGGGCCAGGCCTGGGAGGGTCTCTCCTCTGCACACTTAGGTCTTTCTGGAAGTTTCCCAGCCATTCTCTCAGCACAGCCACTGCCTCCACACCTCTCTCCCAAGGCTCACGAGGGAGGGGCTGACACAAAAACAAGGCCCAGAGCAGGGCAACAGCTAGAAATGGCCCCAGATGCCCTGCCCCACATCAGCAATCATTAAACGAACCAAATTAAAGAGGAAAGGCTTCACCCCAGACTTCCCGGGTCCTCTGTGTGCACATTGACACAGAACTAACTCGACCGCCCTCGGTTTTAGAGATGGGGAAACTGAGGTAGGGAGCGGTCACACACTGAAGGGTGAGGCCTCATGCCTTCTGCCTGCACCCCACTTCTCACTTAAAACATTCGGGAGCCCTGGCTGGTGTGGCTCAGTGGATTGAGCACCAGCCTGCAAACCAAGGGGTCACTGGTTCGATTCCCAGTCAGGACACATGCCTGGACTGCAGGCCAGGTCCCCAGGAGGGGGCCCATGAGAGGCAACCACACATTGATGTTTGCCTCTTTCTCCTTCCCTTCCTCTCTGTCTAAAAACAAATAAATTTTAAAAAATAAATAAAACTTTCAGGAGACAGAAGAGCCAAGAGATACCGGAGCCAGCCAGCTGGGCCAGGTGGCCCTCCCACGGACCCTCACCTTGTGTCCCACTGCCAGCCCGCCGGCGGAGTCCCTGTGCCTGCGAGGGGCGCTGGTCCTCAGCTTTCCGGGTCAGCAGCTCCTGCAACTCCTCAAACAGCTGAAAGAGAGAAGACGCACAGGCTGTCTCAGGGAGGGGTGGTGCCAGGCGCCAGCTGACAGTGGGATTTGAAGTCTTGTCATGAAGTAGGTGGGACGTGACAAAACACGTCAGAAAAATACTGACCGCTCGTGCACCCTTCACCCCGTGTAAGAAATGAGAAGTTGTGAGTGCACTGGACTCGCCCACCTGCACTCCCCCAAGTGCTCCTCAGTGACACAGGGGTTACAGTCACCATGCCCGCCCTTCACGTCCCTCTGCAGAGCAGTTTCGGGAGTGGTGCCCGAGCCCATGCAGCCTCTGTAGCCTGTCCTCAATGACACAGGGAGGCATGTGTCAGAGCACACATTAGCCGGGGTCTGTGACAAGGGAGCCACAGCCTCCAGAGGGTTAAGTGCCTGGACCCAGGGGTCAGAGGCAAAAGCCAGTCCTCCAGCGGGACTCTGGACCCAAATCCCATCTGTCTTTGACACCTCTCTGAAAGACTGATTTTCTCAGAGGATCCACCGACCACATTTGGTTTGTTGTCACCTAGGGGACTACAAGGGAGGGGGCACCGCTCCGTAACTACTGCAGGGAACGGGGGGAGCCAGGAGGCTGTGAGCGGGAGCCCCAGACCCCTAGTGCCTCCGGGTGGGAGGAGGGCGACAGGATTCCACACACGTGGGTTAGAAAAAACCTCGAGCCCCCAGGCGTGTCTGAGAACGCCTCCTTCCGAGCCTTCCTAAAAGCGCGCCTTGCCCTTGAACTTAAGGCACTTGGAGAAAGATGTATCCCACCTTCCTGGCTGGGCTGAGAGGCCCCAGAGGTCAAAGGCTACATCTGCGGCACCTATAACCTCTACAGTGCCAACCTGGCTATACCCAAAGGGCACACACAGCCTGCGTGCTGTCACAGAGGTGACAAGCCACAACTGTGACACTCACGCCGCATAAGGACAGGGGCTACCAGCAGAGGGCTGGCCCTGCACCAGGCCCTGCTGTGGGGACTTCATATAAACTCACTTAACCCTCACAACTCTAAGAGGCAGGTACAATTATATACCCACTTTACAGATGGGGAAACTGAGGTACAAAGAGATTAAGGGATTTGCCCAAAATCACCCAGCCACTAAGTGACAGAACTGGAACCTTGGCTCATGCATCCCTGCACTGAACCGTGACCTTCTGCCCACCCCCTTCCCTGATATAAATGTCCCTGAGAGGAGCAGCTGAGGGAGGTGGTGGCTATCCTGGGCCGCAGGCGCCTCACCTGAATGTTGAGCAGGAACGAGGTCTTGGCCTCTTCAATGACCCTTTGCCTGACCTCGGGGGTCATCTCCAGCGAGTTCATGCGGGAGCGGTACAGCTGCTTGAACTTGGTGGCGCTGACGATGTTGGGGAAGGTGAAGAAGGCCAGGCCCTCGCCGGAGCTGGGCAGGTCCAAGGCCTTCTGAGCAATCTTCTTGAGGACCTGGCCCCCGGACAGGTCACCCAGGTAGCGGGTGTAGGTGTGGGCCACCAGCAGCTCGGGCTCCCTGCGCCCCACTTCTTGGAGTCGCCGCACGTAGCGCTTGGTGGCCTGCGTGTAGGGGACGGCCTCCTGCCAGTGGGGTCCGTACCAGAAGGCCATGTCCAGCTCCAGGGCGGCCCTGCGGTGCAGCTCTTCCGGGAAGTAGAGGGGGGCGTAGACCGGGTTCTCCTTGTTGCGCTCAATCTCCTCCTCCAGGGCCTTGTAGACGTGGTACAGGGAGGCCATCACCAGCTGAAACGGGAGCAAGCAGGTCAGGCTGCCGCCGAGGACAGGAGCCCCCACCCAGCCTTCACAGGGGCCCACACAGCCTCCCCAGGCCAGGCTCCCACCTCCAGCGGCCCCTCCAACCCTCACAACAGTGGCCAGAGAGGGCGTCACTGAGAAACACCTGATCGGCACTTTCTGAGCCTAAAAGCCCTTGTACCCCCACACTGGGTAAACACTCACAGAAACCCAGCACAGGTGCTATCCCCATTTTACAGAAAAGCACATGAAGGCTCACATACGGTAGGAGATGTTGAGGCTGCACAGCCAGTAAGAAATAAAACTGATGTCAAGCCCAGGCATCACTAGGAAGCCGTCACGGCTCTGGAGCAAGGGAATGCCCGCATGAAGGTGCTTCCAAGAGACGGGAGCCTCTGGCCTTTGACCTCTGGGTGACCTGCGGCAGGGCCACACTCTCCTTCCTGGAGGCCCACTCTGAACCCCACCACCTCTGATGACCGGGCTGGATAATGAATCCAGTGTACTTTGGCTGGGGAGGAATTCCTGTTACACATTAATTCTCTAGCTGTGGGGCCACGGGGGAGCTCCCTCTCTGGTGGTCTGAGTGGCTCTGTGCTAGTCGAGCCTTGGTCCCCATCCCCCGCAAAGGAAATAATCCAAGCATGTACTAACCGGGGCTGGTATGATGGTCAGGGAGGGTGACCCAGGTAAAGCCCTGGGCGCAGCCTGGCACTCAGCACTCAAATCAGAGGCCATGGCAATGAACGCCACCTCCTTCAGCACAATCTAAGTGAGCCCTGGGTCCTCTCGTGGACCTTTGTTCCCACTTTGAACTCGGTGGCTTAGGGCTAAGATCCAAATCTATGGTTGCCGGGGAGGGGGTATTCCAGCAGTCACCTCTCTGCTCCCGATGCCCCAGTCACATAACAACTGGGTGTATGTCATCTTTTTGAGGGGGAAGGGGGCCCAGGAAGAGGGAGCAAGGGCTAGACCCAGCCCCACAGGATGCCGCCAAGGGCCCCAACCCCACCAGAACTGCAGGTTAAATTTCCCTTCACTGCAGCACTTCTCTGGTTAGAAGGGGAGGGGGGGGGAATCACAAGTGCTGTGATAAAGTTCCCCCACCCTCTCTGTCCAACCCGGACAAGCCTTTCCTCGTGCTGATGTTTTACTATGAGGCTCTTGTCTGGTTCTCTGTCAGGTACTTCCCTTCTCTTTGCATGCATTTCACAACCAGGCCGGCAAAGAGCACAGTCAGCGTCTTGCTTATAGCGAAGGTTGAAGGTAAAGGACAAGCTGCCTTAGGGAGGGAAGATGAGGTGTCCCCGGTCTCACTGTTAGGAAATGGGGGAGCTAGGGCTCCAGCCCATCCTACCTCTCACCCTCAGAGGCAGATTACAACTGAGTCAGGAGCACAGGCTCTGAAAGGAGACCGGCCGTGGTTTGAGTCTGGCCTTTCCCATTTACTTCCCGGGCCACGGGACCCTCTACTAGTTACTTAACCTCCCCGAGCCTCCCCTTATCTTCCTTTTCAGGGCTGAGGCACAAAGCAGGTATCAAGTGTGTAAGACGCCGAGCTTAGAATAAGTGCTCTCCCGATGGCACCACCGCCCCAGCCCCTCCGCAATACTACATAGCAGGCCATGGACTCGCTGTGTGACCCCGGGTAAGTCACCCCCCTTCTCTGAGCCTCAATGTCATCATCTATAAAGTCACCCTCTCAGACATTCCCATCTGGTCCCTTAGCATCCTTGGTCCCAGTCCCCACTGGACACTGGCCTGAGCCTTGGGCACACCCCCACCTGTCACACCCTCCGCCAGGGCCTGTCCCACCAGACCACATACCTTAAAGCCTTCCTGAGTCACTTGGCCCTTCTGAAAATTGCTCATGAACTCCACGTTCTCTGCCTGGGTATGCACTTCCTTGGTGGCCTCCTTCAGGGCCTCGGACAAATCCTGGGACATGCTGCAGAGGGCGGGTGGATAAGAGGGTGGCTGTGAGCAGGGTCCTTCCCCAGGCTGAGCCTCTGCGGGGGCTGCTCGCCTGCGGTCCTTCAGATTTCTGAAGGCTACTCTGCAGAAATCAGTCTGGCATCCCATCTAATACACCGGCCACGTTTCCAACCACATTAAGATGCAGGCCCATCACCACTCCTCAGTCACTAACAGATACTGTAATACTGTCTCCAGAGCCTAGAGGGAGGGTCTGGCCCCAGGGATTGCGGAGAAGGCGGCAGCACAACCCAGAAGGAGCGGCAGTGGGCAGGGCGAGCATTCGCACTCACGGCGGAGCTGCTTTGGTGAGCTTTTCCACCCAGGATTTAATTCATTGATTTTGTTGAGGATTCCGGTGCGTTTCTCATGACGCCCCATAATACACTCCTTATAAAAGCATTTAGGTTAAAATGTCCGAATAAAGCTGTGCTTTACTCAAAGCAAAAGTTTCTTTCTGGGAGTACTTCTGCCGTAAATGTCTCATTCTGCCTCCCCAAAAATGATCATTTCTCCTTTCTCTCCTGCCACACCCCTTCCTAAAAAACATCCACCCCCTGCTCTGCACATGCTCTTGGGAGAAGGGAAGGAACCAGCCTTGAATGTGGACAGACGACCAAGGTTCAAACCTCAGCTCTGACACCTGCTGGCTGAGCGTCCCTGGGCTGCCTCCCTCCCTCCCTCATCCGTAAAACAGGGGCGGGCGGCCACAGCGATGTCTTGACAGGTAGCGAGAGACCGGTGGGCTTGACTAAGAGTGGGCTCTGATAAGAGAACCCCACGCCCAGGATCGGGCAGCCAGAAGGATCCCAGATTAAGCAGAGGACACCTCTGAGCACATTCAAACGCCCAACACTAAAAGCAAAGTTGGATACCTCGGCGACACTCCGTCCCGTGGACCACCCACCTCCCTGCCAGGGAGCCGCGCACGCGAATCGCCGCTGGTCTAAGTAACGCGGGTACAGGCAGGATTGGAACCAGCCCCTGGCTTCCCGGCTCTCTCTGGGCTGGTCGGGAGGGCAGGTCCCCGCGTCGCCGGCCCCGCCGCCCAGGGCTTACCTGTCGGGCTGCGGGCGCTCCATCTGGCCGGCGCTGGGTTCGCTCGGGGCTGGTTCGCGGCTCGCTCGGGGCTGGCTCCGCCGTCTGCAGTCGTGCGGAAAGGGCCGGGCGAGTGACTCTGAGCTGCCTCCCGCCGCCCATTTATCGCCGGGGGCGGGTCACGTGGCTGCGGCCCAAACAGCTGATTCCAACTTTCTGGCCCGACCTTTCCAAGCCCCCGCCCGCCCGCGCCCCGCCTCTGCCCCCGGGCCTGCGAGGCTGGAGCGGGAAGCGGTCACATGAGCCCTGGAAAACAAAGCGTTTGGAAATACGACGTTTAAAAAAAAAAGAAGAAAGAAGGGCTCTTCTGGAAATCTGCGCAGCTGTGTGATTTTGCCCCTTCCAGAACCCCCCACCCAGTGATAGGACTTGAGGCACCCCAGAAATCTGAGGGTTCCAGAGAAGCGGGTCTCAGAGGTGGAGGCTGGTGGGCAACACGAGAGCCTTCAGTGACCAAGGGTTCCTAGCTCACAGACCAGGCTGGCTTCTCATTCCAACGGGAAGCCACCCCCACAGCCCCTGACTTGCCTAGAACAGCACCCCGGGTGCCAACCCCGGGGCAGAGGAGGCCCCGGGTCAGAGCTGGTCTGGTTGTCTCCTCTGTCCCACTGCGGAGCTCGCTGATTCAGCTTCCTGACTTCCCCTTCCCTGTCCTCTGGCCACAGGAATGGTCCAGATGCTATTCTTCGCTTCCTGTGATGGCCAAATAAGCCCCCCACCGCATCCCCATCCCCAAGGATTCCCCACCCTAATCCCCAGAACCTGTGGGTCTGTCGCCTTCCAGGGCAAAAGGGATTTTTTCAGATGTCAGTAAATCAACGACCTTGAAATGGGGAGATTATCCTGGATTACTCGCCCGGGGCCCAATGTAATCACGAAAGTCCTTAAAAGAGGGGGCTGCAGGGTTGCTGATACAGCAAAGAAGGTGAAAGGGAGGCCAAGGACAGAGCCAGAGGCTGGAAGATGCTCTGGGCTGGTTTTGTAGGTGGCGTTAGGGGCCATGATCCAAGGAAAGCAGGCGGCCTCAGACGCTGGGGACGCCGAGGCACCGTCCCCTTAGAACTCCAGAAGGAACGCAGCCCTTCCAACATACTTCCAGGCTTCTGACCTCCAGAGAATATATTCGTGTCTGAAGCTAGTGTGTTGGTGGTATGTCGTGATAGCAGTATGAAAGAATACAGCCCCCCTCCAGCCCCCCCATCCAGGCAGAGAGAGGGGTGCAGGGGAGAGGGGTGGGTAGTGAGACCCTGGATGTTTACTCTTCTGGCCTCTCCCAGCACGACGCCTGGCCTTCCCTCCTTAGAGCTTTGATCTGTCAGAATCCACTGCCCCCTCCTCTAGTCTTTCCTTTCAGAGTCATCTGCTTGAGGACAATCCGCTAGTTGTTGTTTTGTTTTGTTGTTTGTGAGCACTGGAGATAGAACGTGGAAGAGGCCTGAAGCTCACCTCGACAGAGCATGTGCGCTCAGGATCCTAGTGGAGGCGTCTGGGCGTAGAGAAAATGACCCAGAAAGGGGACCGGGGGCATGGAAGACAAATGCGCCTGGAAAACTGGAAAGGAACCCCGAGGTCTGCCCTGAGCCAGCATCCTCCCACACACGGTTTCATGTCAACCTCGCCAGAGCAGGAGGTGGGAGCTGATGTGCTGTGGGTGGATTGGCGGCCACCCAGGATTGTCCCTGGGCTACTACCTGGAACCTGTGAATATGTCACAGATTACTTAGACTTTGCGGATGAATTCAAGGTTACCCATTTTAAAGTAGGGGGGGTCATCCTGGACTTTCTGGGTGGGCCCGAGCTACTCATGAGTGCTTAAAAGTTCCGAATCTTCCCTGGCAGAGGCAGAAAAGACGTGGCTGGAGAAGTTAGAGAGACAGGAAGTGGAGGAAGGACTAAGACTGCGGTAAGTGGGGAGCAGGTCAGGGCAGACCTCACAGGCTGGGGGGTGTGGGAGCAGCCATGTTTTGGCCAGCAGGGAACAGGTTCCCCAGATCGAGGACCAGTGAAGGCCCCCCGATGGGACAGGCATGATATGTTAGCCAAAGGTGGCATGGACAAGAGCAGCATGGACGTCCGTGCGGCTGCAGCAGACAGAGGGAAGGGGCAGGCGGGGGATGAGAGCAGGAGGGACGGGGGACAGAGCCCATGGGACCTGCAGGCTGTGGCAAGGACCTTCTGTGAGTGGGGCACAGTGGAGGGTTTGGAACGGAGAGTGATGGGATGTCGCCTCGGTGCTGCTGGGGTCAGTGGCGAGACCGGACTGAAGAAGGTCGAGGGCTGACGGCTGCCCACTGCGGGGAGGCAGGGGAGAGACGGTGGAGGCTCGGACAGCTGGGACGAGAAGTGCCCTAGGACAGCCATACAGTGAGGGCAGAGGCATCAGGGATTTCAGAACACAGAGTGGGGTGCGAGGGAGAACCGCAATCAAGGGTGGTAACCCCGAGGGTTTCGGTTCCACCGACCGGGAAGGCAGGATTGCCGGTTACTGTGATGGCGGGGACACTCGGCAGCTCTGTCTGGGAGGAATCCATTTGAGATGTATGGGACAGGGCTTTGCAAACAATGTGATAAACAGGAGGCTTTTGTCCTTTTCTAGAAGTTTCACTTCTCCTGCCTGCCTTGAAAGCTGCCCTTTCACCCACCACCAGGAGGGAGCCCGGGGAAGCAGCTGGTGACTCAGCAAAATGCTTCCGCCGGTGCCTCTCCGCGAGTCCCCCCTCCCAACCATGACACAGCAGAAACGCAGCTGCCGGGGAAATGAGGAAATCTGGACTCAGCACTTGGGCGGTGCTGGCGGCGCCTGGAAAACAGAAGTGGTTTGGCCGCAGGGAGGGGCCAGAGCTGTGGCCTCCAAGGTTCTAACAGGGCAACACAGAGGCGAGGCCCCAGCTACGGCTGGGGGTGCACGGGGGAGTCTCTTGTCTCAGCTGGACAGTGTCCCAGAAAATAGACCCCTCCTGAACATCCTCAGGCAGGGGACACCCTGGATAAACCAGGTTACACACAGTTTCCGGACCCCACCCACGCCTCTCGCAGACCCAAGAGGACTGGCTTTTGACCCCGCAGGGCAGGACCCCCCCCCCAACCCCCCGGGGATGAGGTGAGGTGCGGCCCAAATGGAGTGCAGCTGAAATGGAGTGCAGCCCTCCTCAGCAATGGTAGACGAACCAAATCAGAAAGCACATCCCCACACTGGACCCTGGAGCTTTCTGGATTGAAGGCAAGGCCGTAAACCCACGACGGACTGGGAGAAAATGTTTCCCACGTGCAACAGGCAGACGGCAAACACTCCTAATAAGAGAGCACCCGAAAGTAGTGAGATAGCAGCCGAGAAAGGGTGACATTTAACACTGGGTGCTTATCATGAGCCCCCTGAGAGGGCTGGGAAATGACAGAGTCGGAGAAGAAGGCGCTGGCCGACTGCCGGGACACCCTTGCAGTCTGCATCTCCTCCACTCCTCTTGCCCCCCGGTGTTGCAGATGAGGCAGCTAAGGTGACTGCGCCACTCCTCCGGTCAACAGCCGGGCCCCTGGAAGCATTGCACGCTCTTTAACCTCTGCTCCCTGCCCTCTGCCCTGGGCTCCGGCTGCATTACCAGCCGGAGGGGCTCAGCCCACTTGCTCCCGTTCTCCATACCTGCTGCCAGACTCAGGAACACTGACCACCACCTCACACAACTGTTACGGCACACGTCCCTCTGGGCCTTGGCTCAGGTGGCCCCTCCTGCCCAGAACGCCCTCTCTCACCCCTTTGTCAGGCTAGTAGTCATCTTTCAAGATTCCGCCCAGAAAGGGACTCTGGACTTCAATGAAAGAGCTAAACCGGTAAAATTTATTCTATAAAGTAAATCATAAAGAAAGGGAGTGGTATAAGGGCTTTTCATGGTAACAGGGAAAATACAATGAAGATTACATCTTAAAAAATCATAAAGGAAAACCATAGTGATCTTAGGTTCAGCAAAGATTTCTCAACTACAACACAAAAAAAGCACAGAAGTTCAGGGAAAAAAATCAGCCAATGGGACTCTATGGAAATAAAAACTTTTGCTCTTCCAAAGACACTGTTATGACCTGGCTGGTGTGGCTCAGAGGTTGAGTGCCAGCCTCCGGGAAATGCAAATTAAAAGCACAATGACATACCACTACACACCTGTTCAAATGGCTAACATTTAGAAGACTGTATACTTCTGCTGAGAATGTAGAGCAACTGGAATCTCACTGCTGGTAAGAACACAAACTTATACTGCAGGGGGTCAGAATATGCCACCCCAAGATATAGGCCACCCCGGAATATGCCACCGCTTGGGCATAAGGGTTATTTTGAGCTGCAGACAACCGTAGAACTGAGGTCGGGCCAGCAGGGCTCTCCGCCTTCCTCCTCATTTGCCTAGAAGCTGGCTTGATCGCCGAGACCACTCTAGACTCTTACTAGCCCGGGGGGGGGGGCACCCAGAGCAATCCTCATAACAAGCCTTCCCAAATCAGCCCTCACCTGTGTTCTTCTCCCCCATGTAGCCACCCCGCCACCACCAGCTCCCTTTTCTTTGCCTTGTCACTTCCCTACAAGATAGACACGTATCGTTCTTTGTTATCGTATTAGATAGTAAGCTCCAGTTCCGACCACACTTTCTAGTTGCGCAACCCTTGAGTCCCTCCCTGTGTATGTCCACTGCCCCTGCTCGTACACTGTGAATTTGCCGTTTGTCGGTCTGATGTCTGGGGCCCTGGCTGGAAAACCTAGGAGGGCGGAGGAAAAAGTTTCTTTCCCTCCCCTACAGTGCAACCACTGTGGCGCACAGTTGGGAAATTTCTTAAGAGGCAAAACAGACACCCGCTGTACGACCCAGCCATTCCGCTCCTAGGTGTTTACGTACCTGCATGGAGCGAAAGCACATTCCACACAAAGACCTGCACACGCATGGTCTCGGTGGCTGGATCTCTGATAGTCCCGAACTGGAAACAACCCGTGTGTGTGTGTGTGTGTGTGTGTGTGTGTGTGTGTGTGTGTGTGTGTTATGGTGTAACATACAGTGGGTACTCAGCAATAAAAAGGAATGAACCACTGATCCACGCATGAGTGAATCTC